TTCAATAGACTCCTGTGAACCCGAGTAGAGACCTGGTTGGCCAGCAGTGTGGCAAGACCTGGGGATTCCTGGGCTCAGAGTCAGTGACATAGTCACAGAGGACTAGAGTGGAGAGTGAAGCGTCCAGCTGATAAGAAGACAGGACATATGCACAAGAACACCCACACTTGCAGATAATACCCACTTGACCTGGCTTCAATGGCTGGATGATCAGAACTCAGCCAGAAGAAGAAAGAGGAAAAAAAGAGTGATACAGTTTAATGAACTTGACCTACAACTATGGATGCAGTAGCTCAAAAGAGGGAAATCTTTACAGCAAGGATCATTCCCAACCCCTCCATACACAAAGCAGACAGAGATGGGCAACTTGGACATTAGCTACCCAAAAAGGGGGGGAGGGGTGCTAAAAAGGCAAGAAGTGACTGACTTACAAGTTTTCAAGAGGTAGCCTAGATCCAGAGGGTTCGGAGGAGGGTAGAATCTCCTTTAAGAAGTATCTAATCTGTGTGGGCGGGGCTGATGAAAGGAGATGGGGATAGCACTCATGTACTGACGAGGCACAATAGTGAATAACTGTTATCAGCACTGATTGTGAGGGTTGGAAATGTAAAGGTAGACATTTTGTAGCAAAAGGAGGGAAGTGATTGACTTTGCAGTCCAGGAGTGGAGGTCCCTGGGACCATCAAGGGAGAAAAGCAGAGTGTGGCACCCTATCCAGAGAAACAATGATGCCAGAGATGGAGGAAGAGACGATGACGAGGAGAGATGGAGTGGCTGGGGACTCTAGACCCAGAGAAGGAGAGGGGCTGTGTGCTGACGACCAGGGGCAGTCTTGCATGGTATACCCTTTGGTTGGTTGGTGATGCATGGAGGGGACTGTAACCATGGCAATGAAACCATATACGATAGGATGAATGTAAAGCTAATGTTCTTCCATGTAAACTATCACATAATTCACAGTAAAACATTAAAAAAAATTTTTTTTTAAAGTACACGCTCCCTATCTAGATGATTGTTTCTAGAAGCAAAGTGGGCCACAGAGACAAAGAGGCATTGTAAACAGAATTTCTTGCTGGTTTAGCTGGGTAGTCTTATTACTTCAGGGTCTCCCTTGGGCAGGCCACGGGGTCAGAGTCCAGCCACAAGTCCCAGGTACTAGGAAGGTGGAAAAGACCTGCCCTGGCCAGCCTGGAGGAAGTCCCCCCAACCCGAAGCTGCCTGAGGCTCCCCAAAGTCCACAGTCACATCCTGCCTGATCTTAGGCCAGGGGAGCATTAGGGATCCGGGAGGGATCAGGGTTTCATAAACAGGAAGAGAGGAGGGGAGGGGGAAGACACTCAGTTCTCAAAATAGACCTGCAGGCGCTTCAAAGGGTCCAACTTGGGAGGCAGCCGGAGGAGGGGCCTGGGGTACCCAGTTCACCCTCAGGAAGAGAGGGAGGGTGAATGGAGCCCTAGAGTGCCCAAAGATATCAGGTGTGCCCAGGGTGCTGAAGGGATCCAGGGAACTCTCACCCTGGACCTGCTGTCCACACTATCACTGCTAAAACCCAAATGAATAAAATAAGCAAGCATTAAATAACTATATTGTACCACAAACCCCTTTGCATGGCTTCTTTTACACGTATCATATTCTCTCCTCAGTTTGCCCTAAGAGGTGGGTTCTAGTTTCCTTTTGCAGGAAAGGAATCTGATTCTCAGAGGGGCCAGTCATTTGCCTAAGTGGGCAGGATCTGAATTCAGAATGCCTGACCCCAAGTCCTCCCTGCCTCTCCTCTATCTGGAGGCCCCATTTTCTTCTTCCACTGTCCAAATCCTGCCTGTTTTTTGAGGTCCAGTAAATGCCACCTTGGAAGGGAAGATGGCACAATGACCCCCAGCCCACCCCAACACTTCTCTGCTATGTGTAGCAGTGACCATCTGTCAGGCACACACTCAGTCCCATGCTTAGAGGTAGCTGGCTGGGTTCCCCGGGACTTGCTTGTCTCATCATCCCACTGATACACCTCTGTCCTTGGCCCCAGAGCCCAGCACAAGGTCTGGCAGTGAATGGAGGTTCTAGGTGTCCACAGCGAGTTCTTTCCCAATAGAATACCCACCACGTAGCTTTTCTATCATTATTCACCCTTCTCCCCCAAACTGGGAGTTCTTTGAGGGTAGAAGGTGTTGACTTCATTTAAGGATCTCTCAGGGAAACACTTGTTGTTGGTAAGTGCTGTCAAGTTGGTTCCGACCCATGGCAACCCTGTATAGGATTTCCGAGGAGCGGCTGGTGACTTTAAACTGCTGACCTTGTGGTTCAAACCGACTTTGCAGTCTAGTGCATTAACCCACAGCACCACACCAGGGATTCAGAGATCCAGTGGAACAGTTGTTGTTGTTGTTAAGTGCCATGGAGCTGGTTCCAACCCATAGCGACCTTGTATAGGGTTTTCAAGGAGTAGCTGGTGAGCTTGACCCGCCAACCTTGAAGTGCCAATGGCTTTGCGGTCTGGAGTATTAACCTACAGCACCACACCAGGACCTCAGTGGAACAGCAGTGGTGGTGGTTATGTGTCATGCAGTCAGTTCTGACTCACAGTGACCTTGTACAGGGTTTTCGAGGCTGTAAATCTTTACAGGAGCATAAAGCCTCATCTTTCTCCTGTGGAACACCTGGTAGTTTCCAACTGCTGACCTTGAGGTTTGCAGCCCGATTCATAACCACTACTTCAGTGGAACAGTAGAGCATATCAAATGTCTGATAAAGCAAAGGAGAAATGGCCAGCTGCCAAATCTGTCTCCTGCAAAAGCGATACGGTCCCAACCCAAGGCTAAGCACCCCCTGGTGTTGAGCCCAGAACTGACCAGTGAGGATACTGGTAGCTGGGGCAAGAGAGGAGATAGATGAGCAGGTATCCAAAACTGGTGACACTTGGGGTCCTAGGGACCCAATGCTCTGTCTTTCCAGCACTCAGGGTTCCCTGGGTTGGGAGAAATGGGGCTCTGAGGTTAAGCAGACCTATGCTCAAGTACCAACTCCATCACCCACTAGCTACATGACCTTGGGTATCAATTTCCTCATCTGTAAAAAAGAGAATAACCATCTATCTCCAGTCCCAAGGTAAGAAGCCCTAGTGGCACACTGGTTAAGCACTTGCCAGCGCAGGGAAAGGTTGGCAGCTCAAATCCATACAGCTACTCTTGGGAGAAAGAGCTGACGATCTACTCCCCGAGAGATTTCAGCCTAGAAAACCCTATGGGGCAGTTCTATTCTGTCGCACGGGTCACTAGGAGTTGAAACTGACTCAACAGCCCCTCTGAGGTTGTGAGAATTAAATACAGACCCCCCTGGGGTGGTGCCAGGAGTGGATTAAGTTTGTCTCCTCTCTAACGCTCTCCCTGCCTCATCCATCTCTAGCCTTGTCTCTTTTCCCACTACAGGACCTACTACTGCTCTTGCCAAGAGTCACAGGCTTCAGATCAAATGAAGCAAGGTCCCACCCTTCCCCAACCAGTCCATCTCACTCTCTAAATTAGAGGCTGTGTTTATCCAAAATCTCTCCTAAAGCATCAAGCTCCTCTGCAACACCAAAACCTCAACCCCAAGACCTGATCACCATGGTTCTTTGCTGGGGAGCCCCACATTATGTTGCTAGGCAGCTAGAGGCAGTTACTTTGTGGGCAGATACTTCAGACATGCGGCCAAGAAAAGACATTCGAAGGGGACCAGTTCACACCACTTAACCTGGCCTCTTCTGGTCCAAGGTTGCCATAGCAACCAACAGAGAGGCAGGGTGGGAGTCCATTTCTCTCACCCTGCCCAACCTCATCCAGTTCAGTTTCCTTATCTTAGGTGGCTGAGTCAAGGCAAACAGTAGTCCTGATCCATCTCAAAGGTCCTATTTATGGCAGGCGCTGTGCCCAGGCCAACCTAGGCTGGAAGGAGGGGTCATGGTAGGAGGTGGGGTTACGCAGTACACCAGGTCAGGCAGGTACTACTACATTTGTGTCCTTCACATTACTCTGGTGAGGAAGGGACTATTAGCCCCAATTTATAGATGAGAGAAACGAAGACTCAGAAGGAAGAAGAGCTTCTGGTCATATGATGTGGACAGAGCCAGGACTTGAACCCAAGTCTGCTCCAGTGAGCATGCTCTGTCCCTACCTGGTGGCTTTCAGAGCCCCTTCAAGGACAGCACCTCCTGTGGCTCACAGCAACTCTGTAAACTGGTTGCGATCTTTCAAAGAAAGGAGATAAAGGACCAGAGACCCACCCAAGGTCATACAACTATCATCCAGCCTTTTGACAACACACAGAACCAGCAACAAGGGCTGAGGGGCTGCAGGGAAGAGGACAGGGAAACAGGTAGCAGGGGTGAGGAAACAAGTTTCAGGCTAGGAGTGCAGAGTCCTGAGAAGAGGCTAGGCCCTGGTTAGACTTGTAAGATCAACAAATTCCTTCCAAGTAGCCATCAGCAAGGCTCTACTAGGGAGTGAAGGTAGACCCCACCTGAGCCCCTCCCAGAAACAGTACAGTGGGCCCAGCCTCCCCAGTCTCACACTGAGCATGAGTAGAATGAGCAAATACACTGAGGAAGTAGCCTAGTTGATTAGTAACCAGCCTGGATTCTGCTCCCAAACCTTTTGGCCTGCAGTTTCCTCACCTACAAAAATCGGAAGTTGGAACAAGTCTCTTGACACAAGGTTGCCACAAAGATTAGGTGGTTGTTGTTGCTAAGTGCTGTGGAGTCAGTTCTGACTCACAGGGAGCCTGTATAGGGTTTCTGAGGAGTGACTGGTGGGTTTGAATTGCCGACCTTGAGATGAGCAGTCCAGTGTTTATCTTACACTGCCACAAGGATTAGGTAGGATCAGAAAAGGAAAGTTAAGCTGAACAAAAAGGCGAAAAAGCAGGACCCTCCACCCAGGAAGGACAAGGGTAACCTCTCTCCTCTGAGGTCCTACAAACACTGTCCCCTCACCCTGTCCCTGGTCCAGGACACTGGCCTCAGTCCTCACCTTTGATGGCTGAAGTCCAGCTTCTTCCCCTGAGGCCTGGCCATTCTGGAAAAGAGAAGGGAGATAGGGAGAGACTATTAGAATTTATCCGCATGAAACAAAGAGAATCCATGTGGCACCTCCATCCTTAGCAGCAACTAATGGTCAAGGAAGCCATGGAGGTGGGGACAGGAATTCTGGGGGGATATCCCTTCCACCTCCAGTTTCATTGGGGATGGAAATAGGGACAGGCACAAGTCTCCCTGTAACAGCCCCTCACAACTCAGACAAAGCATCCCCTCTCAGTCCAGCAAACACCTCACTTTAAAGACTATTTAAATACCACCTCTTTCAGTGAGAAGGAAGAGTCATGTGTGGCTCTGAGTTCTTCCAGAGAAAATTGTGTCCTTGTGCAAACTATTTAACCACAAGAGTCCTCAGTTTCCCAGTCAGTAATGTGAGAGTAATTATACCCGCATCCCAGAGTTGCTGTAAGGGTTTTAGGTCCAACCCAGAAATGGTTCTCTTCTTGCCTTGTGTTACTCTGGGACCCCTCTCCTCCCCTTGCCACTGCACTCCTTCATTGGACCACGTATCACACTCCAGGGACTATTTCCACACAGGCCTAGCCTTCCCAGTAAAGGACGCCTAAGATCAGAGTTTCGGGTGTGGTGCTAACAGCTGCACTCTTCCAGACACTGGACTTGGAATCTCACACCTGTGGCACCACTTAATCCTCATGACAGTTTTGGGAGGTAGACTCCGGCCTCATTAGACGATAGAGGAAACTAAGGCTCAGAGTGGCCTAGTGCTGTGCCTAAAGTCACACAACTGATAAGTAAGGATTTAAAATCTAGACACTCTGGCACCCAGGAAGTGCTCAACATAGGTTGTCTTTGAGTCCCTGGGTGTTACAAATAGTTAATACTAATACAGAGCTGCTAACTGAGAGGTTGAATGTTTAAGTCCACCCAGAGGCATCTTGGAAGAAAGGTCTGATGATCAACCTAGTCATCGATAACTCTATGGAGCATAAGTCTACTCTGACACAAATGCGGTCCCTATGAGTTATAACTTGACTTGACGGCAACTAGTGAATGCCATCTAGAGAAGTAGAGAAAATGACCACTATTTGGAGAGAGTGAGAGTTCACAGAAACTGTATGTGCTGAGGAGGAGCCTACACTCCAAGCAGGGAAACTTCCTTTAGGGAGAAGTGGGCACCAGAGCCCACCCCTGGGAGATCCTGCTTCTTCAGGCCCCTAGACTTGCCCTCTGGGGAGGATTATACACCCTTTTGTTGTTGTTAAGTGCCACTGAGTCATTTCCAACTCATAGTGATTCTGTTTAGAGTTTCTGAGTAGTGACTGGTAGGGCTGAATTGCCATTCTTGTAGTTAGCAGTCCTGTGCTTATCTTACTGTGCCAAATCAGAACCTAACCCATCCCTTTCCTGTGTGATGGGAGGTGAGTAACGTACCCTCTCTGGGTCTTGGGAAGCTGAAAGGAGCTACTCCCACCCCTCCTGGCACAGCAAGACTGTAATGAGGTAGACAAGACTGGCAAATACCAGCCTGTGGCAGGTCAGGACTTTGGAGCAAGGATCCGGGTCCACAGAGCAGTTATGCCCTAGCATGGCAGCAGCAAGCACAGTTGTGCTCTGTCCATTCCAGAATCTCCTTGCCCCTAGCAGAGCTTCCCTGCCACTCCTAGGACATCCTGCTCCCAGATCCCCCTTAATGCCTCCTAATCCTCCCCAGGGGCCAAGTGTTCTGCAGGCCCCTCACACACATCCATGCATTGTCAACTCTCAGCAGCCTGGAGAGCAGGGAGGGGTTGATCAGGACCCTGGGTATATATAGGGAGAGCAGGGAGCCAGAGATACATTTACAAAGTTCCACCACAGGCAATCACAACAGCCTACCTATCAGCTCCCTGGCCCCAGCCTTTGCATTCCAAAACCTCATCCTTCCTAAATTCAAGTGTGATCCTTGAACTCCATCCACTCAACCACTCACTCACTCATTCACTACTTATTGAATGCCTTTTATGTGCCGGGCCGGAAACCCTTCCACAGCTCCCCATGGCTTGCAGGCTAATGTCCCAGTTTTTTACATTGGCATTCAAGGCCACCATCTCCAACTGCCCAGAAATGTGATTTTTAAATGTGGGTTCTCGAATCTGACTTCATGGATTTAAATCCTGGCTTCTCCACTTGCATGACACTGACAAGGTCATGTCACTTCTCAGTCTCAGGACTTCGTTTCCTTATTGTGAAATGGGGATGAAAGATAAAGGTAACCTATCATCACCTACCACAACACTGAAGAGAATGAGGATTCTGGAACACTGCATTGTGCTCATGAGGAACCTGTACATAGACTAAAAGGCAGTTGTTCGAACAGAACAAGGGGACACTGAATGGTTTAAAATCAGGAAAGGTGTGCAGCAGGGCTATATTCTTTCTGGTTACGAGTTGGGCTGCCAACCTCACGGTCAGCAGTTCGAAACTACCAGCAGTTCTGCGGAAGAAAGATGAGACATTCTGCTCCCGTAAAGATTTACAGCCTCGGAAACCCTGTGCAGGGTCACTATGAGTCGGAACCGACTCCACGGTACTTAACAACAACAACATACTTATTCAATCTGTATGCTGGGCAAAAAATCTGAAAAGACTGGATTATATGAAGAATAACGTGGCCTTGGGATTGAAGGAAGATTCATTAATAACCTGCAATATGCAGATGACACAATACAACCTAGCTTGCTGAAAGCGAAGACGACTTAAAATACTTATGATGAAGACTGTTGTAAAGAAAACACAAATCCCCACCACTGGACCAATAAATAACATTATAAAAAAATGGAGAAAGGACTGAAGTTGTCAAAGACTTCATTTTGCTTGAATTCACATCAACAGTCACAAAAACAGCAGTCAAAAAATCAAACGTTACTGCATTAGACAAATGTGCTGCACAAGACCTCGACAAGGTGTTCAAGAGCAAAGATGTCAGTTTGAGGACTAAGGTGTGCCTGACCCAAATCACGGTATTTTCAATAGCTTCACATGCATGTGAAAGAGACAATGAATAGGAAGACCTTAGAAGAATGAATGCATTTGAGTTATGGTAATGGAGAAGAATATTAAAAGTACCATGGACTGCCAGAAAAACAAATGTGTACTGGAAGAAGTGCAGCCAGAATGCTCCTTAGAAGCCAGGATGGCCAAACTTTGTCTCTCATACTTTGGACATATTATCAGGAGGAACAAGTCCCTGGAGAAGACCATTATGCTTGGTAAAGTGGAGGGGCATCGAAAAAGAGGAAGACACCTAACAAGTTGGATTGGCACAGTGACAGCAGTAATCCAACGATTGTGAGGATGGCACAGGACCAGGTAGTGTTTTGTTCTGTTGTGCATAAGGTTGCTATGAGTCAGAGCCAACTCAGTGGCACCTAACACCACCACCACCACCACCAAGGAGTAAGGAGCCCTAGGAGCATACTCGATTATGAGCTGGGCTAACTGCAAGGTCAGTAGTTCAAACCCACCAGTTGCTCCATGGAAGAAAGATGAGACTTTCTGTTCCCATAAAAATGTGCAGCCTCGGAAACCCTATATGGGCTTGCTAAGAATGGGAACTGACAGGATGGTACACAACCACCACAACCCTGGAGTGAAGAAGGGGGGAGTTTCAAGAAGCAAATGCAATAATGCCTGCAAGTATTTACACCTGGCATGTAACGGTTCCATAAACAATACCCTTGTTGTTAAGTGCCATCAAGTGGGTTCTGACTCATAGTGACCCTGTATAGGGTTTCTGATGAGCAGCTGGTGGGTTTGAACCACTGACTTTGCAGTTTGCAGCAGTCCAGTGCTGATTCTATGGTGCTACACCAGGAGACCTCCATAAACAATATCTATTACTGTTATCAGGCCCTGGTAGCACAGTGGTTTAGAGTCGGGCTACTAATCTCAAGGTCAGTAGTTCTGCAAGAGAAAGATGAGGTTTTCTGCCCTCATTATAGATTTATAGCCACGGAAACCCTATGCAGGGTGGCTATAAGTCAGAACTGACTCCATGACACATAAACACCACCACCATCATTCTTGAACTCAAAGAACACTAGTAACATAGTGGGTTACTCATTGGGCTGCTAACCACAAAGTTACCAGTTCAAGTGCACTGCTGCTCCATGCAAGAACGATGAGACTTTCTGTTGTTGTAAAGATTTACATCCTTGGAAACCCTATACAGGGTCGCTATGAGTTGAAACCAACTTATCAGTACACAACTACCACCACCATTCTTGAGCCCTACCACCTGTCTATCAGTCTGTCATACTGTGGTGGCTTGCATGTTGCCATGAAACTGCCATGATGCTGGAAACTTTGCCACTAGTATTTAAAATACCATCATAGTCCTCATGGAGTCCTGGTGTGGCGCTGTAGGATAAGCACTGGAACACAAGGTCGATTTGAACTGCAAGGCTGGCGGTTCAAAGTCAGCAGTCGCTCCTCAGAAATCTTACACAGGGATGAGTCGGAGCCGACTTGACAGCACTCAACAACAACATGTCATCATGGTGGACAGGTCAGCAAAGCTCCCAGATGAAGACAGATGAGGAAGAAGGTTTGACAATCTGCTTCTGAAAATCAGCCAGTGAAAACTTTACGGATCTCAACAGAGCAATTTCTAACTTGTTGCTTAGGACATGGCATCTGGGGATCACACTAGTGGAGGACATCATGTTTGGTGAAGTAGAGGGCCAGCAAAGACAAAGGAGACCCTGGGTGAGAGATGGGTACAATAGCAACAGAGATGGATGTTCCAGCAAACATGAGGATGACACAGGACTGAGCAATATTTCATTCTGTTGTACATGAGATCACAACCAGTTGGAGTTGCCTCCACAGCAGCAATCTATCTATTCTTGAGCTAACCCAAACCACCCGAGGCCCTGAGCAAACCAACTGGTTTCACATTCCTAAGCATTGGCATGGTGGCTCCCTCCACCAAGAAAACTTTCGTGCCTTGCCACTTTGGCCAATTCCTGGTCTTTAAGGACTCGATTCAAATATCACCTTAAGTTCTTCCCTCACTCCTCTGCGTCTTCACAGCAATGAGCCAACTGTGGCTTCTGGATTGTCAGTTACCACCTCTCTGTTGTTATTGTTAAGGAAAAGGAGTCAGTTCCCACTCATAGCGACCATGCATTGGGTTTCCGAGGAGTGGTTGGTGGGTCTGAACCACTGACCTTGCATTCCAAACCAACCTTGCAGTCCAGTGCATTATCCTGCAGCACCACACCAGGACTCAACCATCTCTCTAGAACTCAGCTAAGGGCTCAGAAACTCAATTGTCAAATGAAAATTAAACCCAGCAAGGAGGCCAGAGCACGTTCTATTACTCCTGTTTTTTCAGAGGACGCTCAAAGAGTTAAGGAACTCACTCAAGGTCCCTCAGCAAAACAGGTGGGGAAAAAGGGACATAACCCAAGTCATGTGGCTGCAAGTTTTGGTCCCTGATGGGGGAAGTACCTAGAGTTGTGGTCTTATCAAGTGGTCAGCACTTTCACATTGGCCTGGATAATTCCATAGGCCCAGCTTGACCCACCTCCACTCCCTAAGTTTCTGGTCTAGGTGGTCCTCACAGAACCCCACCCAGGGGTGCTACTGGTAAAAAGTGATGCACAAGGTCTCTAGAGGGCAATGTGCAACTCTGGAGAAAGGACTGGGAGTGCAAAGAGGACCCCAGGTGAGCCTTCTCCTCAAAGCCAGGGCCCTGGGAAGGCAGGGTTCATGTGCCCCTCAGAACTAGGTGCTGCACAGGGTAATAGGAAGAAGACCCTTGGCAACCACAAAGACACGGTACCCAGTTCTAGCTTTGGCAGCCATCATTCTGACCTTGACTCTGTCACATCACCAATCAAAGGTTCAGTTTCCTCAACTGTACTATAAAGGCAGTGACAGTTGCAACCCTGTTGCTTAGAACTGGACTGGGCACATAAGTGTTCAATAAATATTTGATGAATGAATGAATGAAAGGAGACAATGACACTAACCTTAGAGAATACTGAATGAAGGTGTGAGGCAGCATCCTTTGGCCTCTTGGAACAAGACCCACTCTCCTTGCCCTTCCCCAAAAACACCACTCATGAGGACTGCTACCCAGGGCCCTAAGACCACACCCCTTTCCCAGTAGTCAGATACATAAGTAAGTTCCAACCGATGCCCTTCCTTCTGCCTTGGGAAGAGGTAGCCAGGGCAGCATCTCGTGACATCAGGCAGCAGATGGAGAAAGACAGCACATGCCCCACAGGCAGGAAGCAGCCTTAGGAGCCAGGTTCGGAGCCCAGTACTGGCAGCCCTGCACACTGCTGGAGGCTAAGGGCCAGGTGACAGGGCCAGCTGGCACTGCCAGCCCCTCAGTTGAGGCTGGACCCAGGCCTACAGGGTGAGGCAAGTCTGCCAACATCCGGAGCTGCTCTTGCAGTACCTTTTCCATGAGCCAGTTTGACCCAGCCCTTCTTCACCTTTGGGCTCCCCAGTTCATGGAAGGCAATGTGAGATCTGGGTTCCAATACTGGCTCTAACTTTAATTTAATTCATAAGCCAGTTCTCTCTGAGTTGAACTGTACCAACTGAAAATGGGGGTAATCATTTCTACCTTAAAAACTTATAAGAATGAAAGTGATATAGGTGGAGTGGATGGCATGTAGCAAGGTCTGTACATGGCAGGACTGGGCCTGGAGACAAGGTTATTGCTTTCAGTAGAGGCAAGGAAGGCCCAGGTGGAATCCTCACCCACATTTCCAATGGCTTTACTCCACCTGGGCCACACCCTGGGCCAGGCCCTGCCTCCCAGCAGTCCATTTTCGGCAGCGTCATGGGAAGGGCAGCCCAGATGCCAGGCCTCTGCCAAATGTTTCTTCTAGCCCCTTGCTTGCCTCCTTCCCGACCAGAAGTCGCCAGGAACCGCCGCGGCGCCTGTACCTGCAGGTCAGGCTGCTGTATCACTTACATGTCACCTGGGCTAAGAACAGCGAGGCCCTGTTCTCCAGTGAGAACAGCCCAACCCTTGCCCTGGCTGCCCCATGGCTCCTGTTACCCAAACAATAACACCCAGTCGCCTGGCACCTCCACTGGGGGGAGGGGAAAGACCGGCAGTCTCTCAAGCCCAAGAAACAGAGGCTGGAACCCAGCCCTCATCACTAGAGAAACAGGCCCAGAGAGGCTAAAGACTGGCAGGGGCCACACAGCGTTTCTAAGGTGACGCTCCCAGAGAAATCACAGCATCCCAATCCTAGGGCATAAACTAGTCTTTCTTACAGAATTCAAGTGTTGTAGTACTTAAAACTGGCCCTTTAAATCTGGCCCCTGGTGAAGTTGGCCCCTGCCCCAGGCTCCCCAAAAGGAAACAGGAAGTGGTGCCCTAAACTGGGCTACTAGATGTCCTTTCTCCTTCCCAGCATAACCCAAGGGAAGTCCTTGAGTTAAATCCCTCTGGCCTCTCCTAGCTCTCGCTCTCTCCTGAGAGGCCTAGGTCACAGGGGCGTGCCTGGACAAAGGAATCCACCACTGAGTGCCACCTCCGAGGCCCTTGCACCCTTCCCTCCCCCACCCCCCTGCCCTAGTAGAGAGAAGGTATGGGGGAAATAGGGGCTGCAGAGGGCAGTATTCCTCACCTCAGGAGGGTGAGTCAGCGAGAGAACCTCGGAGCCTCCAGTGCAGGGCCTGTAAAAACCCCATGGCAGGCATCCCAGAGCAATTTACTCCAAATTGCACCTTCAGGTTGGTTACCTAATCCTACTGCGACCACCCTCCAATCACCAGTTGGCCATCCCTTTAAAGAGACAGTATACCCTGGGTGTTAGAGACCCAAGGTCCTCATCCTGACCCCAATCTGAGGCCCTGAGTAGTAAGGGAGGGTAGAGAAGAGGACTGAGGTAGAGGCCAGGGGCCTAAGCCAAGAGAAAATCACCTGAGCTCCAAGACTTAGTCCAGGTCTTCTTCACCTCCTCCTTGCACACTGAAAAGGGAAGTATCACCTGCCTCCTTCTCAGGATGAGGCTGAGGGGAGTTTTCCATCGGCCAGATCAGGGGCTTGACCTTGACCCTGGGGATCAAGAGCTAGCCTTTCCACCTCCTCAGAAGAAGGACAGGACCTGAATCTGGGAGGGACTGGGCAGACAGAGGCCAAACCCCTCAAGGCCTAGCTTTTTCTACATAGGGGAGTTCAAGAAAGGTAACAGGGTTTTTTCCACACCCCACTCCCAAATAATCTTCATAAGCTTCCCCCCATTGAATTGCTAACGCAAGGTTGGTGGTTCAAATCCACCAGCCGCTTATCGGAAATCCTAGGAATCGACGACACTTAACAACAACTACTACTCCACAGCCTGGGCTAGAGGACACAGGTGTCCTTTGGCCCTAGCCTCGAATCAAAGAAAACTACGAGTCCCAGCCCCCGATGAACTGTGTCACCTCATATTCCACAACTACCAGGAGGCATGAGGGGCACTCTTTCCATACTCAGCAGCAAAGAAACGGGAGCTCTTGGAGAGGGGGCAGTGAGAGACGTCAAGAAGTGGAGGTCCCATGAATCCCAGAGATCTGGCTCGCCAGCCCTGCCTCTATGACCAATCCCGGTACAGATCCAAGGTGTGTGTGGAGAGATCGACTCGATCTCAGCGCGCCACGAAATCCTCTCCAGTGGCTATTGCGGGGTACTGTCCTTCGCGCGCGCGCACACGCGCGCACACACACACACACGGCGGGGCGGGGGGGGGGGGGGGGGGGCGTGGAGCCGCAGAGTAAGCAAGATATTGGAAGGCACTTGCGCCCGCCAGGGCGCCAGCCGAGCTGCTGGGGCGCCGCGGGCCGCCCCGCCCCAATGGGGATTCGGGCTCGCGGGCGGCGGGCGCCAGTCCCCCGCCCCGCTCACTCACCTCCGGGTCCAGCGGCACTAGCTCCATGAGCGGCCAGGGCTCCTTGAGCTGGGCGAGCGGCATCGCGCCGCTGCCCGGCCACCCACACTCCTCCCGCGGCCCCGGATGCACCGTTCCCGGATCCCCGGGTCCACGGCTCCGCGCGGCCAAGCCCTCTCGCCCCCCGCGCCCCCCGGGCTCCGGCTGGGCCGTCCGCCGCCGCTGCCGCCGCCGCGGCACTAGGACTTCGGCTCTTTCCGTCACCCGGCGCCGCCGCGCCCATTGGCTACCTGAGAGAGGGCGGGGACGCCGAAGCTCCGCCCTAGCCCCCGCGGCGCGGCTTTCCCGGCGCGGACCCCCGCCCACCCTCCCTCGCTCTGGTAGCTCTGGCCCCGCCTCCTGCAGGAGCCCCTTGCCGGTGCTCTGCTCCGCCCAGAAGAGGTTCTCGTGGCTCCTCCTCCCAAACTGTGTCCCCCTTTTAACGCAGACCAAGCAAGGGGTGGTGGATCGACCGGTCCTTTCCACTTCGCTCTTTTAAGAATCCCTCCCCAGATGTTCTTTCTCCTTCCAGGATGAGGGACACTGCCCACCCACCCACCCCCACAACACACGCACATTCAGGGTGTTCTGGGCCTGACCTCTATGGAGGATTGTAAGAAACCTGGGCCCCCGATTCCTCACAGACCCTCGGGATGCCCTACCCTCTGCAGGGTTCTGCCTGGCGGGAAGCCAACACGGGGCTCTCACTGGGGGAGCTCAGCGTCTCAGGCCGACTCCAACTCTTCTTTCATCACCAACAGGGCCCGGAATGTCCCAAAGTAATTGCTTAATTCTCATTCTTTTGTAATTTATGTTTGATTGTGCCTTATCTCTTGAGGCGGCTCCTTTTAATCTAGGCTTCCCTGAAATTTCTCCAGCTGCAGGCCCAGCTCTGGGCTGATTGGGGCTTACGCGCCTCTGAGGACTGGAACCAGGCTCCCATGATCAATCTGCACTTGGGTGAGTTGAACTTGGAGTAAAAGCATGTGAGGAAGATTCCCCCCTGGAGAGTCAGCCTCCACCTAAAGAGGCCTTAAAGACTCAGGTGTGGTGAGATTTATTCCTGGGTCTCTTGGGTGCCCAAACTGGCCAATTATTTGCAAAGCTATTCTAAAGCAAAGGAATGTTTTCTAAAGCCTCCTGCAAGCTAAGCTCTGACATGTGATTTCCTTGAATCCTCTGCAAATCTTGAAAGTGAGGCTCAGAAAGATGAAGTGACTTACCCAAGGTAACACAGCTGGTTGAGAACAATCTTGAAAAATTAAAGTGGATGAGTATTTCTCCTGAATCCAGATGCTCTCCTTATTCCATGCCTTTCCCAGGGTAGGACCTCAGTTGTTGATCGAAATTGAGTTGTGAGTTGGAAGGACTTTAGATTTCAACAAATCTAGGTTTGAATCCCAACTCTGCCACTTCAACATTGAGAAACTTCTTATCTGTCTCTAGACATCAGTTTTCTTATCTGTGAAATAGAAATTATAATCTTGATTTTTCAAGGATGTAGTGAAAACTAAATTCATTTTAATTCAGTAAATATCTATGGACTGTTTATGACACAAGGAGCTCTGGTAGTGTAGTGGTTATGAATCGGGCTGTGAACTGCAAGGTCAGCAGTTCGAAACTACCAGCTGTTCTGTGGGAGAAAGATGAGACTTTCTGCTCCCATAAAGATTTACAGCCTCGGAAACCCTGTACAGGGTCGCTATGAGTTGGAACCGACTCCATGGCAGATAACAACAACATATATGACACACCAGGTCCTCGTATGTAAGTCTCTTCTTCTGGGTGATGAGGATATATGTAGATAAATTAACAAAACAAAGTCCCTGTTTACATTCATTCTGATGTCAATAAATAAATAATTACAGCTAACACTAGCAAAGTACTTACTATGGACCAGGCACTGTTCTAAGCACTTAATATGTTTAAACTCATTTAATCGTCACCACAAATTTGTGAGGTAGGTGCTCCATGTACAGATGAGGAACCCAAAGACAGAGTGTCACAGAGCTGGAAATGGGCAGTGCTAGGAGACAACCCTGGCAGTTTGGCCCCAGAGTTCTTTCTCTTGTTCATTTATTCTCCACCTCCCTTATGAGTGAAGGTAAGGGATAGATGGAAGGCAGCCCTGGGCCACAGTGGGCAGTGTTAATATGATCTAGCTCAATCTCCTAGAAGCAGTTTGTGGTGTCCGAACCACTGTTGCTGAGGGCTAAATTGCAATATTGGAACATACTTAGACTAAAAAATTATTATGTTTTCTTTATCTGAAATTCAGACTTATCTTGGTGTCCTGTATTTTTATTTGCTCACTTTAGTAACCCTAATCAGGGCTGAGAACAGATGCACACAGGTGCCAAATTCTGAGTTTGCAGTTGGCCACACTTAGTTTAGGTTAGACTTAGGAAATGACATTGAGACCCAGAGAATGAGGGTAAAAGGCTAGATGAGGGAGGTGGGGTAGATAGATGGTGGGAGGGGTGAAATGAGGGGAAAACAGGAGTGGTCTGTCTTATTTCCTTCTACCCCCTCCCTGAGGTCCCTGACCCTCCCTCTTCCTCCTCTCAAAGGAAAAGATTCCCTATCAAACTTGTCATCTCAATTTAAGAACTGAGTAGCTGTTTGTGCTTTCATATGAATAAGTTTCACTTCCTGTGGGGTATTGGAGAGGCAATGGGTTTTGCTGGAAAGAAAGGAGACCTGAAGACTCCTGGACCCTGCTTGAGACTGGACAGGTCAGTTTGCTCATCTGTAGGGCAGAGAGATATAGAGCTCAAACTATAGCCTACCAAGTGCTGATGGTGCTACATTCTCCACTCATACTTGCTTCACCTCCCTTTATGCTCCAGCCACACTGGTAATCCTTCAGTTCTCTTGTCAAAGGGGCTTTGCACATGCTGCCCCCTGTACTGAACCAGCATTCCCTCTTCTTCAGCTGGCTCATCTCATGGATTGCTTCCTCCAGGATGTCATCTCTCATCAGTTATATATGCCTATGTTGTTGTTTTTAGGTGCAATCAAGTCAAGTTTGACTCACAGTGACCCCATGTGACAAAGTAGAACTGTCCCATAGGTTTTTTTGTTGTGGAGAACATACACAACAAAACATATATATACTCAACAGTTTCTCCTTGTACAATTCAGTGACATTGATGACAATCTTCATGTTGTGCAACCATTTCACCCTCCTTTTCTGAGTTGTTCCTGCCTCGTTAATATAAAGCCATTGCCCCTAAAGCATTTATCTAATCTTTCTAGCTTATGTTTTCAATTTGATCCCATGTAACTAGATCTTAAAAGAACATAATGTTCAAATGATAGAACCCCATATATAAAAAATCCCAGCGTCCACAAGAGAACTTCTAAAGCTAATAGAGGAATTTAGCAAAGTTGCAGGGTACAAGGTCAACAACAACAACAAAAAAATCAGTTGGGTTTCTATATACCAGCAATGAAAAATCTAAAAGGGAAATTAGGGAAACAATTCTATTTAGAATAGCGTTCAAGAAAGTAAGATAACCTAGAATAAATCTACCAAGAGCATGGAATACTTATGCAGTGAAAACTATGAGACACTTCTTTTCAAATTTAAAAGAAATAAATGAAGTATCGTTACATGTTCATGAATTGGAAGATTTCTTGTTCAACTGTCAATACAACTCTGTGCAATAAATAGGTTCAATGTAATCCTTATCAGAATTCCAATAGGCTTCTTTACAGAAATAGAAAAACCAGTTCTCAACTTTATATGGAAAGGCAAGAGGCCCTGACTAGCAAAACCATGCTTTAAGGGAAGAACAAAGTAGGAGGAACCATACTTCCCAATTTTTAAAAATAATAGGACTTCTGGTGTGGCGCTGTGGGTTAATGCACTGGACTGCAGAATTGGCTTGAACCACAAAGTCACTGGTTCAAGCTCACCAGCCGCTCCTCAGAAACCCTATATACAGTCACTATGGGTCAAAACCAACTCGATGACAGCTACAGTAATCAAAACAGCCTGGTAATTGGTAGAGCAGTAGCAATGATCAGCAGTTCAAGCTTACCAGCCACACCCCAGAAACCCTATACAAGGTCGCTGTGGTCGGAACCGACTCAATGGCACTTAACAACAGCAAAAGATAATTAAGATAAAACAAAACAGAAACAGAAAATCACAAGTGTTGGCTTGCATGTGAGAAAATACAACCCTTATCTGTTGCTGCTGGGAATGCAAAATGGCGCAGCCACTGTGAAAAACAGTGTGCCAGCTCCTCAGAAAACTGAAAACAGAACTGCCATGTTCTTGCTAGGTGCCCTCGACCCTGTGCACAACAGAATGAAACACTGCCCAGTCCTGTGACAGCCTCACAATTGTTGTTACTCTTGAACCCATTGCTGCTGCCACTATTCCAGTCCATTTCATTAGGGGTGACCTTCTTTTTCGCTGACCAAACATGATGTCCTTCTCCAGGGACTGGTGCCTCCTGATAACATGTCCAAAGTATGAGCGACAAGTATTGCCAAACTGACTTCTAAGGAACATTCTGGCTGTACTTCTTCCAATACAGATTTGTTTGTTCCTCTGGCAGTCCATAGTACTTTCAGTATTCTTCTCCAATACCATAACTCAAATGCATCAATTCTTCTACAGTCTTCCTTACTCATTGTCCAATTTTCACATCCCTATGAGGTGATGGAAAATACCATGGCTTGGGTCAGGCACACCTTAGTCCGCAAACTGACATCTTTGCTATTTTTTTTCCTTAAACTTTTTACTGTGAATTAAGTGAAGATTTACAGAGCAGTTCATCAGTTTTACATTCAACAAACCATACACTTTGCTTCATTACATGATTGCAATCCTCTCCATGTACCAACAGTTAATAGCATTTACCTCTATTCACTTGAACTGTTGCCTTCTTCTCTGTGTCTTCTGATACCTTAATTTTCCTCTGTTAACCTCCCTCTAGTTGCATATTGTCTACTCTGTCACCTATGTTAACATATGTCTGTCCTCTAGCCCATGAATAATTTTTCCTTCGCTCTCCACGCCCCCCATAATCATGTTGTTACTGTTGTTAAGTGCCGTCAAGTCGTTCTGATTCTAGCAACCTTGTATAGGGTTTGTGAGGAGTGGCTGGTGAGCTTGAACTGCTGACCTTGCAGTCCAGTGCATTAACCCTCAGTGCCACACCAGGACTCCTATAACCATCATAGATTGTGAA